TGGTCCACCTGTATATGCCTTTTGGGCCATCCCTGTGTGTGTAGGCAGAGGTTTTGGAAGGTCTTTTGAAATGCATAATCGTACTCAAAATTCTGTGTTCATGGATCACTGTAGGTGTTTGATACAGAAACAAAAGCGCATCTGATAGGTTTGGTTAACCTGATAAAAGCTGTTGATGCTGACACAATCTGAATTGTAGGTCTGCAAGTAAAACAAGAAGCGCAGAGCAACAGGATCACATCATTTTATAGTCACAGGAGAACCGGTGGTTGTATCCCCAGAATTTCTACAGGAGAAAGCAGACATTTCTTGATGCGAAGGGCTTACTCTGCCTCCTGTTATCGGAGCGTAGACAGGAGCTTGATGTAAGGCAGGATTGGCTGCTGCTGCAGTTTGGAAGGCTGCAGTTGGCTTGTCAACTGCCAAGCTGGTATAGTGGAGGTTTGCAAGTCATGGTGAGATACCTCTAGCAAGAGATTGTTGGATGTTCCTGAAATAATACCTGTCTTCTAGAGAACAGAGTTCTCAAATTGCATCAAGGCGAGTGATGGCCTGTGTGCCCTCCTAAAAGAGCCAGCAAATATGTTAGCTAGAAGGATGGTGCCAAGGTTCTGGCAGGGGCTAACAATTTAGCAGGGACAGAAATTAACTGAACACCACAAATAGTTTGATAGTAATTCACAAGCAGAAGTAATCCAAGCAGGAACAAAAAACACAAGAAAAGCAGGGGAGGGAGTGAAAACAACAGTCTTTAAATAAACTGGAGAATAAGTAACAAAAGAACAATTGACTGCAAGAGTGCAGTCAATAAGCAAGTGCTACATAAAATACAGTTATTAAACATCTGTGCAGCATTTACACATGCGTTCCCCACCCCCCCCCAAAAAAAAAACTACAAAGGACAACAGTGCCTTAAGTGCAGCAAAAACAAACAATTGAAATGCAGCTTTCAAAAAGTTAGTTGCTCATGCTGACTGTGCTGCAGGATGGGTTTGAGATGCAGGTAAAAGCCATAAGTACCATCAGTGACATCTTTTTCCAAAACCTCTGCTGGTTTTTCTCATGCTTTTCCTAGCTTCTGCTGGCCTGCATTGTATGGCTAGAGTAGGAGACAAGTGGGAGGGGGACTGATTGCTTCCATCCATCTGCCCTCCCATGACCAATTTCCACAGGACAGTTTCCTATGCCAGGCAAGGTCTTCTGGCAGAGCAAGGATTATCAGACGTTATCAGTTAGCCTTGACAAACATAGCGAGGAATATGTCCAAGGGAGCCTGCTTCTGCTGAGGTGCAGGGATCAAAGCTCAGCCCTGGCTTCCAATAGCTCCCAGTAGGTGGAGAGAAATGTCTCAAAGGGGCAGTGGCAGTTTGAGGGAAGGGGGCTTAGCTCTTGGAGCATCTGTTTGATGAGCCCATGATCCCCACCTCTTTCAGGGGGAGGAGGGAGGTAGTGTATCCAGCCACGGTGGGGTGGGCCGTACACTCAAACTGTCTCAAAGGTGTTTAAGAAGCCTGGTACTGCTCAGCACGTGTATGAAACAAGAGTCTGGTGGTTTACCCTGGTTGTCTAACAGTTTGTTCTGCCAGTTGACTTGACTTACCAGCTTGAACTCATTTTGCAATACAGTTTTGCCTCTCAAGAGTGTATCACAAACGTTGATAACTTGACCCATCTTCCCCACTGCAAAGCTGCTGCAGTAGGAGTTTTGATGCAAAACCCCCTTGGACTTCACTGAGGTGGGAAGAACTGAGTCATTACCCTGTAATTATGGCCCTGAATTGAGCTCAGTAAAGGGACCTCCTGACAGAAGTCACTAAATTCTTCCTCCCTTTAGGAAACTTGACTGGTAGTAGTTGGCATTAACTAGATGCTAGACATTTATGGTCCAGATGTGTTTGGCCTTGAAGTGGTAAGGGCCAAGTTTGCTGCTGAGAATTCCAGTCTTCATATAGTTTTTGTCCTCTGGGTAGCTAGACAGGCATTTGATGCACTTTAGCTTTAAAGCTTGATATACTGAATCCAAAGTTCTGCTAAACTCTGCAAAATTGCTTTATGTGTGTGCGTATTGAAGTCACTTGCAGCAGTCCTCCTCCAGCTATCAAGCAGAGTACCTGAAGCTCATGTTTGCTGCTGAGGTTTCTAGGAACTAACATGCACTTGGATGAGCTCTGGAGACAGCAAGGGGTTAAGCAGTAAACGGCAGTTACTTAACTCAATGTATATCCTGTGCAGTAGAAAAGAGGACAATGTAAATGATCTGGAAGATCAGATACAGGCCTGTTGTAGGCACTGTTGCTGTGAGGGTGCCCATCCTGACAAGAACAGGCGAAAGAGAGTAGAACAGAAGTAAGGGGTGACAGCCACAACTTCAGAAAGGCTTCATAAACTAAGAATGGCTCTGTAGCCTAGCATTTTTAGGTCTCAGTGATTAGCAGGTCAGCTTCTGAGGGTGATTTGATACAAGATGTGCTTGAAATATTAAATCATGTCCTCATACAAAATGAAGAATATTGGAATAGAGAGTTTGTCTGTATCATTTTTTGTTCAACAAATCAAACACCAGCAAAGACATGCTAAGAGAAAACAGAAACGAAATTATACCATAGCCGAACACTTGATTCTTGATAAATAACAACATCGTATTATGTGCAGACCAGGTTCAGGGTGGCTCTTGTATGGAGGGTGATTATGTTCATCTCTTCCGAGTGCAAGTGCTGCATGGCCCGCAAGGCAGGCTCCTTCCTGCACTTTCTCATCAGGAAGGAGCTCTAGCTCCTTAAGGACTCTGTCCTTAAGTAAATCATGGTGTCCGAAGCTGATGGTAGTGTCCTGACCTGCATGTCTTCTGGCTGATAGCGACCGTTCCTGTTTTTCCCATGATGGCGGTCCACTGTGGGACTTTCCTTATTGGTTATGAGTAGGAAGAAACTTTAGGGCAAGTTTCTGAAGATTAGAACAGGTGTTTTTTTGGTTTGTTTTTAATTTTTCTCCTCTCTGCATCTTCAAGTGCAGTGAACTAAATGTGTATCAGGTCTTCAAAGAACTGAACTTTCACTTGTTTTGTCAAGTTTGTTTCATGGGTTTTTTTCATGTTTGGAGAAAAAATTGTTGAGGATGCATGGCTCTTAGAAACATTTAAACAACCATTTAAAACTACCATTTTAATGCTAATAAAATAATAAGGGCCAAATATTGATGGATCACTACCTTATTTTATATCAGCCCAAGCTCTGGAAGGTATGGTCCAAAATAAACAATACAGAGACTGAATTATTGAAGAGAAGAAGTTTAGATCAGATGGTGAGGCAGCAATGTCTTGAAGTAAAAGCCTAGTGTAATACTGTTACACTTGCATAGTAAGCTATTTGTTCTTGATGCAACTCCTACGTAACACACCTCCTGAGGCTGAAGATGAAGGGATGTGTGTATACCTCCAAAATTTTAGCCTATCGTACAAAATTTACAAACAAGTATAACCAGAGTATAACTCAGCGTATTGCCTTTCTTTTTCACTCTCTTGATGATGAATTCACTGCGTTCTTTTTAGTTAGCTTTATCATCTTCCTAACTAGAGCTTATTAAATGTTACTTCAATATAACGAGCTGTATTTATTTCACAGAGTGTTCATATTGGCAACTGCATGCATGCATTCAGTTGAGTGCTCTTGGGAGCATTACACTGAGACTTCCGTAAAAAGCTTGTGTTATTTGAACACAGGAAAAGGGATCCCTCAAATAAAACTTGAGCTGATCGATCTGTGAACTCTGAAGGACCACACAAGATGGTGTGGTTGTACTTCTGGTGCTAGCATTCCCTTAATTATAGGGTGCCCGTTCTTCTTTCATGGAACTGCCAAAGGCTTGCTTACCCCCTTTCTTTCCGCTTGGCTGCCCTACGTATAGTCTTTGTAACACTAAACCCATATTTATGTAGAGGTGCATGCATTTAAACGATTGTTGAAACAGTTGGATCAGTATGAAGAAGCTCACATTAACCTTTTAAAATACTTCTGGATGTAATTTCTATTGCTTGCTCGGACCAAATCTTTTCTTTTTGTATTCGCTAAATGCCAGCGTGTTTGATTTCTGCAGTGCAATTCTGTGATTCCGCTCTATTTCTCTGAGTTTCTTAACTCTTACCAGATAATTTGGTTTGACTTTAAGATGTATTTATTGGTTTGGTCACTTCTTCCTGCTCTGCCTGTCCCCTCTAACTACTATTTCTCTCTTCTGGGTAATGCAAAGCACATTACATAATTTCTGGATTTTGCTATTCCTATCTGGATGAAACTGTTTATAGGAGGAATATTTCAGAGTTTTCAGAGCTTTCCAGAAATGCTACGTTGAACGCTTGATCTGAATATGCAACTGTTGGCGCTGTTATTGTTTCCTCACATTTATATAAACACTCATAGAAAGGTGTTTTTCTGGGGGGTATCCGGGTGCATTTCCAGCAATGCAAGTGTTCTTGTGTGCCTTATTTCCCTGCAAAGTAAATGCTTGAATGGTATTATGACTTGACTTTTGTTTGGAGAAAGAGAAATGTGATTTGCTTGTTTGTTTTTTATCATGCATGCCAAAGTGCATTTGCTATTGACAGTTGAAATAGAGCTTTCTAACTGCTTGCTTTGCAAAGTAAATTTGAAATCTTCATTTTATGTAATATTAACAGCAATATTTATGTACTTGGGAATGAGTAACTGAAGAAGACTGAAACCTTTTCTCACAACTACGGTAGTTCTACAGTACAAGTAAAAGTAAAATAAATGTAACTAGTTAGTAATGTTTGAGAACAATAGTTTGTTCTACTCGATACTGAGTTTATTGTGAAAGAATATTGTGAAAGGTTGTTTCGCATTTATTTCGAGAGTGAATTTATTTGTATATTTTCTGTTGAAAGTCAGCAATCAGTACAATGTATTACCTCTTTGCAGCTGTGTTCTAACATATTGCTTTTACATCTTTTTGGTTACAATACTTTATTTAATTTTCTTTTACAGTATAAAGAAATGTAAAAATTATTATGAAGTCCTTGGCGTGTCAAAGGATGCAGGTGAAGAAGACCTAAAGAAGGCGTATCGAAAACTTGCTTTGAAATTCCACCCAGACAAAAACCATGCACCTGGAGCAACAGAAGCTTTTAAAAGTAAAATATCATCTTTCTTAAACTTTATGATCAAACTATGGCAGAATAAAAGGAAGTCATCTGCATTGGTCGGTTGTCTTTTTATAAAATTGGCAAGGTAGTGTTTTGCAACTAATACTAAACTAACCTTTTTCGTTTCTGAATTAGATGTGTAGTACTACAGCACATGGACAGAAAACTTAGCAGGGGAATCATGCTGACTAAAAATTACTACCAGAAAAGTAGCACTTTTCTTACATTTAAATTATTATCTTTTTTTCTGGTTGAGTAAATTTATCACTTTAGTCTGGTTCTTAAAGGTGTCTGATGAGTTTCTAACATCCTACTTGAGAAAAACAGTTTCATAATGATATCTGAAGAAAAAATTATTTCTTTTAAGGAAAGGTCAAGTTAGAGAACGGGATTGAGTTTGATCTTAGGCAAAGGTGCCTACTTAGATCTTGAGGTTAGGTAGTACTACTCTTCTATTGTATTAAGTAGTCTCCCTTGAAGTTATTTTTTAGATTTAAGAAATATGTGCAAATAAAATTGCATTTTATCTCTTGAAATCTTTTTTAGCAACTTCATCAAAGACCTTTCAAAGGTTTTAGCAGTATTTCTTTTTTTGTTCTTTATTTAAGGAAAACGATATTTTAATCGAATCTGTTTTGAATCAGTATCGCCTAATCAAGATCAAGTAACAAACAAATAAACAGTCAAAAAGGGTTGCTTTTAATCACGAACCGTACTGGGACAGTATGGTTTCTTTACTTCATTTGCTGTCACCTGATTAATGTCTCCCTAAATTATTAATTGTTGAAAAAAACCTAAATTTTTAGTACCAATTTTATCCTTGTGCTGAGTAGCAGAGTAACCTTGTAACAATATTTGGTGTCATTAATGTATAACGTGCTCCCAGTTTAAGTTACCGTGCTTCATTTCTTTGGGTTTTTTCCCCACTTAAAGGAACTACTAATGATAATTTCTAAGGTCAACCTAAAAGCACATAGCTAAGACTCCATTAACTTTTTTCGAGTGGATAATGTTGAAAACATGAATTGTGCAAAGCCGTAGTCTTATTTGTCGGTGTTGAGATTTTAGTGCTGCACCTTTCACCAGCTTTTGATGACTGATGGCTTTTCGGCACTGAAAAATGTCATTTCTGTGACTTGTGTTGCTTGGCTGCAAAAGACAAGCCTTTTATTGGAGAGGCAAGAAGGAGAGGAAGAAAGAAAAGAGAAAGGGTTTAATTAGGATGTGATGGAGCGAAGATTATTTATTGAGCATCAACAGAAAATTTCCTTAAGTCTGCAAGAGCCATGTGTCTGTGCAGAGCAGTTAGGGTGAAAGCACTTTTGAGTCTCGTAAAGTCAGCAGAACTTGTGGCCCTTTCACACTGATTCTTTCCATGCTCACCTACCCAAGTTTTCCTCTTGCTTCTTTCAAAATCAAGTAAATTAGTTTGTGATAATATGACGTGAAGGTACTGGGGGCACGCACCCAGGCCAGGCATTCCAAGCGTTAAGGTTAATTCAACAACCTTAGGAGTGTGTCGTTTGACTCGTCAACAGGAGTGTTTCTGTCACGCACACATGTGGTATTCTTCATGCTATGTCATGCAAAACTTTGCTATTAATGTACTCTGTAAAATATCTAAGCAGCATGTGGGAAAATGCATTCAGACAGTTGAGGGCAATCAAGCTGGCACATTAGAAGTTGCCACCTATCAAATAAAACCAAAGAAAACCAAAGTGTTAACTGACTCGGCGATCATTTTGACCTTGGGCTGCAGTTGCCCCGTTTCTAAGCATTCATTGTAATGCTTGATTCTCTTCTGTAATTGCAGTAATTCCACTGGTGAAGGTGTTGTCGCAGAAGGAGGAACAAAACTGTGCTGCCTTCTGCACCTAGTTCAACAGAATAAAAAGCCTTTGAATGGAATTGGTGGGAAACTTAGTGGGAACTATGCTAATTTGAGCAGAGATGTTTCTGGGCTCTTATTTGTAACATAAAGGACATCAGTCTCTGCCTATTCTTGACTTTGAAATTGCAGTGTTCACGCTGAAATAGCCCTTATCTTTCATTTACGGGAGCTGTCTTCTATTCCTTGCTTCAGAAATTGGAAATGCGTATGCTGTGCTGAGTAATCCAGAAAAACGAAAACAGTATGACCTTACAGGCAGTGAAGAGCAAGCATGCAGTCACCCTAGCAACGGTAGATTCAACTTCCATAGAGGTTGTGAGGCAGATATTACTCCAGAAGATCTGTTCAACATGTTCTTTGGAGGGGCATTTCCAACAGGTATTTGTACGCATCAGCATACCCATTAATATACAGTGGTATTGATCAGAGTGGCATTAAACATTGTGCCATTCTAAAACAATAAAATTACTCCAAAACACATGCCCCCCAACTCTTTAGTCTACATCAGAGTTTATTTTTCTCCTAAGTATTGCTAAATCCCAGAAACGTGAATTGCCTTCTTTGGGGTTATCCTACAGTGCCTGAAATACATCATTTGTTTTTAGAGTTTAAAATACTTATTTTGAAAGACCTTGACATTGTAAGATGTCCTAAAGTTGAGTTATGTTAGGTGTTATCGTGCAATAATGTTAAATACTGCATATTGTTGCCCCTATATTGGTTTTTCTAGATTTTTTTCCCTTTGTCAGATTTTACATGTTTCAAATATGGATTTTTTTTTTTCCTTAGGTAGCGTACATTCATTTTCTAATGGTCGCGCTGGCTACAGTCATCCTAATCAGCACCGTCAGAGCGGACATGAAAGGGAAGAAGAAAGGGGTGATGTATGTTTAAGGGCCATTGACTATAAGTTGTGGATTGTGAAATGTGCTGACAGTCATTTTCAGTGATGTGACTGTTGAGGCAGTTCTGTGCTGCAGAGGAGGATTTGTGCTGGCCAGTTTCGTACTTTAAAATTTTGGCAGGTGGTAGGCTTAATGAGCTGGTAAATAGACATGCAAATTTAAGAAGTTAATAACGTATTTTTGCAAGTGTATTGTCGTATGTTGTTAATATGGTAGCGACCAGTGCTGTTAGACTAACTGTGCCACTAATTCTGGTCGCTAATCTCTGTCTGCATTTAAAAGTTGTTTTGGGTTGAGATAGGACTTGTATATAGGGCTGGATAACTAGTCCTAGGTATGAGTTACATATAGTCCTATATAATGACATATCACTATATAGATGAGACCAAATAATGCAGTACTGTATAACTGAATCCAGTTATTTATTTGGTAGCTGTCTGTGACTACATGCTAACCCACGGACTCTTGTAGCTTCAGCACTCTGTGCACATTGTGTGTACGTTAGAAAGCTAAGATAATATCACAGATAATATCACAAAACCTGCAGCTTTGCAGGTTATAGTAGTGTTTGTAGTTACAGTTTTCCTAGCAGCTTTTGATGCTTAAGCATAAAATCATGGTTAGGATTACATTTTGTCAGGTTTGCCTCTTTACTTGATTCTATTTTATGAAATATTTGAATCTGTTTTGTTCCTTAGGGAGGCTTCTCTATGTTCATTCAGCTGATGCCTATTATTGTGTTGATTCTTGTTTCCTTGTTGAGCCAGTTGATGGTATCTAACCCTCCTTACGCCTTATACCCAAGAACGTAAGTAATGCTGAATTGCATTAGCTTAAAGCAGGGTACAATGTTTTAATCCCTTCCGCGAGAAGCATTTTAGAAAGTCCTCCATTAGTTGGACCTTGGTTTTCCACAGTGAGGGAAGGGAGAAAAAGAGTAGGTGAAGTAGGAATGGAGTGAAACAGAAACTGCAAGTTAGATAGTGAGAACATGCTGTGAAAATGTAATGGAGAAAAGAAGTCAGCAGCAACTGGCATTTAGGAGGGCATCTAATATGAGGCAGTGGGCCCATGCAACATAGCATGTTGCAAAAGTGTCTGCATCTCCAGCATGTTTAATCCAATCCTGAAACCTGTTAAGGCTCTTTACTACTTTAGGAGTCGTCTATGTTTGTAGCAAGCAGAGTGCTTAAAGGCAGTTTTCTCGTCCTTGCTTAAGTTTTGAACTAAATAAAGACTAGGGAAATTACCTGTTCTTTCATTCATTCTAGATGATGATAAAATAGTTTCTCTCTGCTGCCTTGCAGACAATTCCGATAGCAAAACCATTTGTTTTATGCAGAAGGATATATAAATCTTTTTTCCTTGAGAGAAATAATGTATTATAGTATCAAGCGTTCAACCAGCTAACAGACTTTAGCTGTTAGCTAGAGTTAGTCCCCCCAGCTGCTTTAAAGATTCTCAGTTCCTTGTAGAGCTCACAGCTCCACAATGGAAGGGCTTCTTTCTTCTTTCTTGTTTTTCAGCGTTCTTTAATTCCGGAGTGTGATGTTGTGTCTTTCTGCAACTAAGCTGTTGTGATGCTTATAAACACTTCGCTGCCAAAATGTTTGTGCACAGTCCTTAATTTTTAATCTGCAGAATGCCAGCAGGAAGATGGATTTGTCCGGGGCTGCAGAAAACATTTTAGAGCAGAGATGTCTGTACTGGGTTGCTGCAGAGTAGTGATGTATTTTTCTTTATGGTGGATTTGAATGTAATTTTATATGATCAAAACTTATAGATGGCTAAAGACATATAAAATAAAGTGTCTCACTAAAGTCAATTTTTTAGGATTATGGGTGAAAACAGCAGAAGTTTGATGTTCAGGTAAATGTAGTAATTTTCTTTTCTAGTAAAATATACAGCCATTCATTTCATTACTTGTCTTGAAATAGCAAGCTCAGTGACATGCTATTGTTCTTCTGTAATAATAATTTTTTTAAATTTGTATTTGTGGTGTTAACAAAAAAAAAAATCGAGTCTCTCTCTCTCTCTCTCTCTCCTTTCACTGCAGAAGTACAGGGCAGACCATTAAAATGCAGACAGAAAACTTGGGTGTTGTTTACTATGTCAACAAGGACTTTAGAAATGAATATAAAGGAGTGTCATTACAGAAAGTGGAAAAGAGTGTGGAAGAGGATTATGTGTCCAACATTCGTAATAACTGTTGGAAGGAGAGGCAACAAAGTAAGTCTGTTATTACGTGTAATTACATAAAAGCATGCATTCCTATAAAAAAGATTGTCTTAGGCTAGAATGAAGTGCCTATATTATTAATATATCTGAATGAAAAAGCAAATGTGAAGTTCCCTACTCTTTCTTACTTCTCAAATTGTCACAGCTAGTGTCGCTTTATTTCCCTGATTTTTACTCAGTGACATAATAACCTTCTGCAAATAATCAGGATTTTTAACATGTTGTTCAATTTTATGTAGCCATTTCTCAGAAAGTTAATGATTACAGTGAATTTATAATGAGAAAAATATTTCTCTAAATAAAGGATGAAAGCTGATTTCTTCCACATTATTTTATCTTGGCAATATCTCATTATTGTTGTGTATTCATTACTATTGTGTACCTTTCTTATGAGTCAGCCTTCACTTCTTTCTCCAGAATGTTATTCCTCATAGTCAAGATGAGGGTCACAGGTGCTTTTATAAAAATAAATAAATGAAACAAAAGCCCACATAGATGTTTTCAGAGAAGGAAAAAAATAACTGCCTTGGATCACAATACAAACAAGCACTACCGTTCCAGGTGACCAAGGACACCCAACATGTTGTGGTTAAATGGCATAAGCCAGAAATCAGTGCTTTATCTTTCGCCAGTGTTGAACAATTTTTCTCCCTGAATGTGATACCTTAGGCTATATCGCGCCTTAGAAAGAATCTTTTTAGTTTAACAGCTGTTTTGCCTATTTAAATTAGTATTACGTAGCCAGCTATTTTCTTGCAGGAGATAGAACTCTTGCCTAGAACTCAGTGTTAAAGCACAGAATTTGCTTTAACAGAGAGAATACTGAGTGGCATCAGACATTAGCCTTTCGCGCACTGTGAGAACAGCGCTGCTAAAACGGCATCGGTGTGAAGATCAGAAAGCATGCTGGTAAACTCAGTCATATCTTACTAGAGAAATAATTCTTTCATGAACTGTTAGTAAACTCATCACTGACCAGAAGCGAACAGAATGCTGTTCCCTGAATGAAGTTGTGTGTTCCTGCCTAACTTCACTCTCTGCCGACCAGAGATGCCAACCGTTGCGGCTGAAATGGCCCTTAGCTTCTCCCCGTTGCAAGAGACAGCCAGACATCACAGCTGGTCGCATACCTGCTCAGGACTGCACACGTTCATTACAGTTGGCCTGTCTGTGTATATATATGCAAACTGCATTGCCCATACAGAGCAGGCCCAACCTTACTCAACTATACACACGGCATGTGCTCAAGTAATATCTCTACAGATTTACAGATTGCCCGCAGGAAAGAAAAGCTGTGGGCTGGTAATGCAGACTGTCCCGCGGGGCCACAGGTATGCCAGAGAAACACCTGTGCTTTGGAGACAAATTTGGAGATTATCAGCCGGACTACTAAATTGGATCGGAATAACTTTTCTCATATTTTTCAAATACAGGAAATCATCAGAGAATGTTTGGATGTAACTCATAAGCAAATAATCAGAACTCTTGTGTATTTGCAACTAAATTGTCCTTTGATAGTCTTGAAATGTTCAAACGCGGTCACGTTCCAAGAAATGAATACCTAATTTTTCATCTACACGTGGTTTCTAGATAAAGGATTGATAGTCTCCAATGGAAATAAAATACTTAAATGTAATGAAATGGCTCACAAAAATATGGAAAGTGATTGTTATCAAAAAATTTAACACGTAAGAGATAAGCCAGCACAGTAAGAAGAGGACATATTCTCCGTGAATTTTTTTCAGCAGAGTGTAGATCGGGAAGGATGTTGTGCTTTTAGTGACTTAGTTATTACACTTAGATTTGCTGGCACATTAGATTTGTATCTCATGTAATATATACTGTCTAAGTATCTTTGGAAAGGTAGACATTTAGTTGATGTGCAATTCCCACCTAGGGAAGGAAAGAGGAAAAAAATGCATCTCATTTTTCAGCATTTATTCTTGGCAAGCTTACTTGATAAGCATTAGCAGAGTCCTGGACAATACAGAGGCCCACCCTTCAATAGGCAAATATTTAATGGGAAAAAATCGATGGCTGGGGAAACAACTCACACTAGTATAACGAAGAAAATAACCTGATGGTTGTGACTGTCATTTTGTTTACTATTTGCAATTTATCAGGCTGTGAAAACTAACCCAGATTGATTTCCAAAAAGCAGTCTCTGATAGAATTTCTCTGTATTTATAGTTTATGGATATAAAATATCTGTTGTGTTTTAGATCTGTTTGACAGTTAAAATCTTCTTTCCAGTGCTGATTGGCGTTTAAGAACGCTTTACTAATCCATTTCAAGGTGAAGGGCTGAAAAAGATTGTATAGAATTAAAATACTCAACAATGTCAAGCTAATGAACAGCTAGTGAACGCCGGCGTAATACAGAGAGCTCTTCTACGAATACCTCTGAACACTGGCAGTCTGAAGCAGCATGAATGAAGTAATGGGCTTCGCATTCAGAACGGTTTTTGGGCACAGACATTAGAGCTCTCTGTAATGTGCAAGATCACCGAGTGTGACGTATATTTATGTTGTTTAACGGTATCTGTCGGAAAAGTAGTTTTTTCAGTCCGGGACTGCTGTATGAAATATGAGGGTCCAGGAAGGCTGTTACCGCTTTCGCTGCTCAACAAGATGAAATGCTGGTGAGAACTCAGCAAAGGGAAACCTGCGACAGTGATATTCAAGGGGTGTTTGTGGGTACTTAGAACAGGCAGAAGGAAAAAAGGGTGAGGGTTAAACCGGAGGTGGTTTGGACAGCACTGAGAAGGAATATATCATGTGTGAAGTTTTCCATTCTTAACCTGAAAAATCTTTTCTTTTTTTTTTTTTCTCTTTAATTACAGAAACAGACTTACTTTATGCAGCAAAAGTGTATCGAGATGACCGCCTCCGAAAGAAAGCAGACTCCATGTCTATGGACAACTGCAAAGAACTAGAACGGCTGACCAGCCTCTATCGAGGAGGATGAACTGGAATTATACATGTGCATCCTTACGTATGCTGTTATCTCTCTTGCAAGTTAAGAAGAGATTTAGTTTCATCAGGAATGCTGGAAAAGAGGGGTGGATGTAAAACTCTACTGTGTAGCTGTTTCCAGAAACCTTATGCTGAAATATCATTTAATGGCTTCTTTACCTACTGTGAAATATAGGTACCTTACTTGTTTAGATATTTTACTTCAAAGCTTCTGTGAATTCCTTCAGCAGAGAGAATAGCTCAGAAAGGATGCTATACTTGTAGAGATTTAGTCATAGTGGTTCTCCTCTAACATATTTGCCATGTAAATATCTGTGGAAAGAACACTTTGTGTATATATGAGTTAAATGACTTTCTATTTAAAATCTCAGAAATTTAGTTCCATACAACATTTTGTCTCACTGATGGAATAAATAGTATGATTGCATCACTCCTATTCAGATGTCAAGTGTGTGGAGTTGAAACAGAATTTTTAATATTTTATCTCTAACTCTATGTAAAATCTTCTAGGTTTACCAGCTTAGAGGAACTTGCTATTTTTAAATATAACGACGTATATTCCTAAATATATGTTGGGGTATATTGATCTGGTGTAGAGTAGCAGTTAGCTGTTGTCGTTTTTTAGCATTTCTAAGCAATGCTAAGAACACTAAGAACTACAGTAATCTCTTTTCAAAGTAAATATTTGCAAATGCTGTACAGTCCATTATAAGCATTGCTTTTAGTACCTGCAAGAGTTTACAGCAGCTCTACCGTTTGGTAGTTCAGTAGTAGTAAGACCATAACAGGCATCCGCAACTTCCTTAATTTTCGCTGAAAAGGTAGGGGAAAACATGCAATAGCAAATCTAGAGTTTCAAAAAGAAAAGAAAAGAAAAAGGCAATTTAATATATATTTTTTCCTGGGAGACTTACTTAATTTTCTTACTGTTTTTTATTTCAAGCCGAGTTCTAACACTGATTCCTCAATGGGCACCAGAAGCAGAGCAGGGAAACTTTGCTGAGGACAAGCTATGTGCCTTTCAACACTTTTGCCAACTATTTAAACGCTTTGCTAGTTTGCAGTATGCTTCTGTGGTCAGAGCCATATTACTTGTTCCGGGACAGGAACTGAAGGAACGAGTAGGTAGGGTATGCATTTCTTTGGACGAGAATGTTGCTGGATTGACTTGCTAGACATGAATAAGCGTACTGTTTGGCTCTAATGTACAATATCATGTAACTCAGTGGCCTGTACGTGGAGACTATATGTAGCCACACCTGCTAATGCAAATGCAGAGGCGTTTTGAAGCAGCTGGGTACAATGTACTTTAAGTTTATACAGAAAGTGAGCTGAAAACTTTTTTAGGTTCAGTAGCTGTTGTTTCTACTTTTTAACAGTGCTATGTAGCAGAATGTTTTCTTGTATCTGAGAATGCCACATGGCTTGTAATAGGGGCAGCATTTTTTGACTAAGAAAACTGTTTTCTTAAACAATGCTATCAGTTCATGTGGAGCCAAATTCTGCTCCTAAATTGGAAATTTAAATACTTGACTAAATTCCTTTTAATTCCTTCTGATCTAGACTTGCGGTTTGAGAAGAGGATTTGACTCTAGAAATACATTAAATGCTGCTGCTCTGAGTGACCCAGAAGTCAGTGTGCGTATGTACCTTTTCTAAACTGTCTCACAAGAAATGCCCTCTGTTAAATAAGTCGGTGTAACACGAGAGAGACTAGCTGCAGACTTTTAACTGAGCAGCTAAAGCAGCATTCAAAGTAGATGTGAAAGGCTGAGGTACAAAGCAGAACTAAAAGCTGCTGAAAGGAAGGAGTTGCTGTACTGGATATCCTTGCTAAGATTATAGGATGAGTGGGAAGAAGTGATGAAAGACACTCAGATGTTTGAGGTTCACTATACAAATTTATGGAGAAAATGTAATTCCCCAAATTTTGCAACTGTCTGGAATGTATTGTAAATATACTAATGAAACAAACTGTCAGAGTACATATTGATACTCCTGTGTGTTCTTAATAGAAAAAAAAATGTTTCGAAGGCTTTAGCAAGTACTCAGGCCTTTTGATTCACAAACGAGTCTGAGCTTGCAGTTGATTTTTTAGTTAACAGAGTAAAATGGATGTATAACACATTTGTCAAATATTGGAACAGTGAAGTCAAAGTTAAGAGATGGTCTTAGCAAAGCTGCTTATAATAATCTGATGGGTTATGTCTGCTCTGCAGTTACTTCTGCTTCATCTGAGGAGGTGGTAAATGAACTGCTGCTGAGCAGGTTTATGCTGGTTAGATCGCTATTAGTATTTCTGCAGACCGGAATAACGCAATGCCTGTGTCCTGTAGCGACGTAGACGTCCCAGTAGGTTACGAGTGAGACATAGGCTGTTAGGTTTCTTTGGATTATCTATTGTAATAACTCTTTTAAAAGAAGAAACAGCTAATATGTTTAAACTGGTGGAAAAATGCTACTTCACATTTAACAGATTAAATAGTTGCTGAGTTTGAATATGCAGTAGCATGCAGAATGTAGAAGGATGATATTATTTCCTGTAACATAAATATTAATTTGCTTTAAATATGGCCTATAAACATTCTGTTAATGTTTCTAGTGGGTGCTTCTCTCGCCTAGTTGTTACTTTGTTCCTGAGTCTAAAGTTTTTATCTTCAGAAATGTCATCATCTTCCCAGGTTTTGCTGAAGGAATCTGCTGGAAAGTTCAGAGTGAATCCTTTTATGAGGAAGGTGTTAACTGAAGAGAGTGGAGTACTTTAATCTTTTCAGATGACCTTTCTTCAAAAGGTTAAGTACTCATACAGTTAAGATACTAGAAAGAAAAGGGAAAAACAAAACTGTGATTTTGAACAGCCTCACTTAAAAACCCCTCAGCTTCTCCAGCTGCTTAGAATTAACTGCTTATTCTTTGGATTTAGTCTAATCTAGAATTAAAAACAGGACAAACATGGGTTCTTGATTTCTCCTTTAGAAGAGCAAGTAGGAAAGTCTTTCAAGAAGTAAAAAATCTTGGCGTGCGATTCTGACATACCATAATGAAAAAAGGGAGGTGATTTGCATCTGCTGAAATAACATCGATATCTGTTCTATTTATGGAGCAGCCTGAGTCATGAGCAAGTTCATTGTTCCCATCTGATGAACATTTGCCTGCAAGTTCTCTACCTGTTTAGGGAAAACGAGATTAAATTTGAATTTTTGACTTTTTTTTTTTTAAACAGTCTCAATTCTTTTATAAGTTTCAAAGAAATATAAAAATACATAGTCACTAAAATGTAATGGATGCTTTTAAATAGGCAGCAGAGGCAACTGTAAATCATGGACATTTTTAATATGCTGTTGTAATGAGTGCAATACAAGGATTAAAGTGGCCAGGCAAAAATACATTTTTTAAGGTTGTCTGCTCCATAAATGTCATGAATCGTCATCATCCTTTCCTAGTGTAGATCTTTCAAACACAGCAGAAGAAAGCAATATCGGATGGTCAAAACCAAATGCTTTGTTAGAGGAAATCCAGTCAATATGCAAATTCCTGAAATTGTAATTTTAAAAAAGTACTAGCTTCCTAGTTGTCTAGATCTGTTCAATAGACTGCAGTCAGTTTTGCCAGAGGAAGCTTGGTCATGATGATTAATGATGACTGGCAGCCGCAAGCCCTGGTGCTGTATCGCCGTTTTGCTACGGATTTACTATAATCTTGCAAGCATCACTCATCTCTGGGCTTTGTTTTCCCCATGCACCTTTGTAAACCACTTTAGGGAGCCTGGACAAAAGGTACCACATAACAAATGTAAAACATTGTCAGCAGTGCCATATTTGAAGGGTGATCTAGATATTTTTCAGAGCAAATAGTACAAATGTAATAAATATGGGAAAGAAATATGCCATTATAAACCCTCCTCCCCATATATCTGTTCTCTGGGATAGCTGAGACTTCCCAAGCTGGCAAGAATTAAGCTTGACTGTCAGATTTTTCAGGATTTCTCAGGGCAGGGTTTGCAAGCACAGGCTCTGTGTATACATAGGCTGTCACTGGGACTGGAGACGAGATTGCTGATAACTTTAAAATGCAGGAGTCATCTCATAGATGCTCTTGCACAGCTTTCAGTCAGTACTTAGTGTGACAGAGAAGGAAGTAGAATCAATCACTTAGGATGATGCTGCCAAATTTTAACAACCCAGTTGCATTTTTAAATATTTTTATTGTATGGTGAGGAATATCTTAAGAAATGAATGAATCAAGGTTTTTGCATGTAACATTCTCAAAATACTACCAGGAGCTCACATATGAGAATTTTATGGGGATTGCCTTAAGTGTTGCTCTAGTGTGACTAAGTCCCTTTTTAAATTGCCGTGTCTTGTATTTAGAAAGATGCATAGATTCTCAAAATGCAAAGGAATCTGCCCTTTATTACTGAACTTTTCCTCTGTGCCTTGCAAAATTGGCTTGTATCTGGTTATTTGGGGGTTTTTTTTGACCTCACAAGACTTATATGTTCAGAAACATTAGCAAGTTTGAGTCAAGTTTTTTTTTTTTTTCCTGAGCTCCAGTATTGGCATCCAGACAAAATCTTCAGATTCTCAGCCGTGCTCAGTGTGTAGCAGCTCTCCTTCAGAGAAGGAGCACTGTTATATGTTGAACACTCTTTGAAATGCACCACCGTGGTCCTAGGTTCTGACACAGCACGAGTTTTAAGATAGATACACAGTTTCTGTTTTTATACAGTGAGCATCTAGTGGATGAATCTGCTTTGTTTCCTCACCTGAATTTGTTAAATTGTTAGTCTGCAGGTGCATGGGACAAGATCCAAAAGTATGGGTATGTTTATGGGAGATGAGCCTCACTGGAAAAGTGAAACTAGGCATAACTATACTAGGCAGAAATGGACATTTCAGTTTTTGTTCCTTTAACTTAGATGCGAGGGGGGGAATTCTCCAAAACTGTGCTGTTTCCCCCAATCTTCCTAGAAGATGAGCTGTGGTGCTTACTGGAAAAACAGAACCCTTAGTTTTGCTCTGTGTTGACTGCAAGAGAAGAAACATCCGATTCCTATGAAAATAGCTCAACTTCCCGAAGTATTTGAATGCAGACAATAGTTGTTGAGGTTTTTATTCCGCTGCCATTGAAACTAGCACAGCATCTTGTCTGGAATTGTCCTGGGTGTCCTAAATGGAATTAAACAGCTTGTGCCCGAGGGGCTCTGGGGGATCCCAGTTCAGGTCGGAGCCCCAGGGGGGCACAGAAAAGCACAAGGTTCCCTCCCTCTGGTTACCTCTGTTGGTGCCACAGAAATGCTTTTTCTGCCCAGATGGTGAAATAGGCAAATCGGCCAAGCAGCCCTGCGTGTCCTGCAGGCCTCGGCCAGCTGTAGGCGCAAAGGCAGCGTGGGAGGAAAAGATGCTGGAGCAAACAAAAAAACAAAACAAAACAAAA